ATGTTAGTCAATGGGAAGATGGGACAAACAGATTTAAGGAGCTCCTCTTATTAGAAAGCTACTATTGCTTTGTGTCCAAAAGAATTCTTGTGCTTTCTTTCTCATGCATAAGTGATGCTTTAACTGAGTTGAGGCTTCCAAGACAAAGAGGGCCCTTCTGTACAGTAAATCAAGAGATTTCCCCAGGTGTGGGGTCTTGGGATTTGGTTTGATGCTCAAATGTATGTGTTTCAAGGAAATAACTAGTAGAGGGGAAGAGAAGAAACTCCACTGTGCACTATATGAGCCCTGACGCCTAATCACTCCATGTTCAATAAGGAGTTACTGGGCATTTAGGTGCCAGGCACAGTGCTGAGTGCTGCGGAAGTGGTGCGTGGGACAGACACAGCCCCTTCCCTAGAAGAACCCATCCTGAAGGCACCTCTTCTCTACCACCACCACCCAGGCAGGGGGCAACCATGCTCACCCTCTTCCACAGCCGGACTCACTCAGGAGGCCCTTCATCTTCATGTTCACCACATAGCAGAGGGGAGGGCAGAAGATGAGAAGGGAGGAGAGAGGAGAGCCAAGAGCCTCCTTTTCTCCCCCTGTGCCCCTCCTACATGTGGCTCTGGACACCAGGAACCACCCAAGGACAGTAGGACTCCTCAAAAAGATAATTGCTCATGAGGGATCCAAGAGCAAGGCTTGTTACATCCTATAACCTTCACACAAAGTAAGTACACAGCTGTCAGAATGGCTTAATGTTCTACTCATTTGTTACTTGGGTAGAGCTGGACTGGAGGTAAATTCCTAGCCCTTAAGCTTTAGTCTTTGAAAACTGGATAGCGCCAACCAGGTAAATGAGCTACTTCCACTTGGTCTTAGAGAAATGGAGAATTTTCAGTTACTATAAAATTTTGCTTTGATGCAAAGCAGCAGAACCAGAGTCATTCTGCTAAAGTTATAGAAAGAGAACATTTTCTGATGTTTTGTTTGCAGTAAGTTTCCTTCAGTTAGTGAATCAAGGATTTGGTTGAATAACCAATACACTATTCCTCACCATAGTGTATTGCCAACTATCAGCTTACTACATGATTATTAAGCTTTATCTATTTGTAAAATTCAACTAAATGTCAGTAAGTTAAAAGGTAAGAATAAATATTTGCAGAGTTTCCCTGGGTATTTGTTATCAATTGAACTTTCTGGAATAAAAATGTAGCTTTGCTTAATTTAAAACAAATCCACTATTTATCCAAACAATGAGAATCACCAAAATAAAGCATCTTGTTTACAGCTTGATCCTGCTCTGGGTTTTAGAGAAAATACATTTAATACAGCAGACAAAATGACCTATTAAATTGTAGCACATGGTACGAAAAAAAAAAAAAAAGGACTCTTCAGTTTTGCCCTTCTGTTTAAAATGTTTATTAGAATGCATTATGTTTTCACTTTAAGAGAAGTAGTGATCAAGAAATCTCTATTCCTCATTTAAATAACATAATTTATCAAATGACAAACATAATACAGCGATTCTTCATAACCTAAAGTTACTACCAAACAGAAGTTGCCTTCAAGTTATTATGATTGATACTAAGAAAAGATAAAATTTAGAAAGTGATTTGTTATGAGACCTATCTTGTCAGGATTAACACATTATGTAGTTAAAAATGTAAATATTCTTATGTGTCCTGTCTTGCACTGGGTTAGTTATAGGTTTTTATTTTAGGTCAACCTTAAAGTCTTGGAAGATATTGATCAGAATTTAGTTATTGAATATTTTCAAAGAACTGACTTGTGGCATAGCTGTACCAGCTGTCTATATAATTGCCATTTTAAAAAAACACTAATTACTCTTTGCTGCTTTAGTAATGGTATGAAAATCTCACAAATCCTGATTGAGACTTGACAAAGACTCTTGCCCCATAGCCCTCAAAGAGGTAAGATTGTCCATTTTTTATTCTACCATGGCTAAAGGTTTCTCCAGGCATGCACTGGGCCCAACTTGCTCTAGTCATCACTGAGTTTACAGCTACAGAATACACTTTTCAAATGACATTTAATGCGGGTTCTGGGTACTAACACTTGAAACCTAATGATGAGGTCACCAGTCACTCCTTCTGTAGACACGATTCCTTTCCAGGTGTCTATGCAGCACATGGTTCTCTCCAACCTCTCTGGCTACCTCCACCAATGTCCTTTGTTGGGGTTTCTTTCAAACTTCTAAATGGTAGTGTATTCAAGACCCAGACCTCTGCCTCCTTTCTGTCTACACTCTTGAGTTTCATGTAATTTAAATCAATATTTCGGCCTTCATCTCTCTTCTAACATCCAGATTCAGATGTCCTCTAGACATTTCCATTTGGGTGTCCATGAGCCATCTCAAACTTAACCAACCAAAAAAGAGCCATCAAGCCCTTTGTATCTGAGTAAGAACTATAACACCAATCACCTAGTTACTCAGACTGAAAACTAAGAACCATTCAATATGACTGTCCCATAGATTCCATATCCAAACTATATCCCAAACCCTATCACTTCTCACCATCTATACCACAGACACTTAGTCCATCATTTCTCCATCAGTCTCTTCTACACAACAGCTATCACCTCCTGACTGATCTCCCTTCCTTAATTCTTGCTCCTAACTATCAAATTTCCACTTAGCAGCTAAAATGAGCTTCCTAAAACTGTAAATCAGATACCAATTCCTTGCCTAATTCCTTCCACAGCCTCCTATTATTCTTAGAGTAGACCCTCTTTGCCCTCAGCTGCCTGCATTATCCTCTGTCTCACTACATTGTGGCCCCATGAACTTTTCTCTGTATGATGCTTATTCCCCAGTTCAGAGCCTTTGCTCTTAACTCTTCCTTTCCCTTATAATTATCCCACTGCAGATATTCATTTACCTGTCTCATTATCACTACTCTTTAGAACTCAATTCAAATTTCTCCTTCCCTGAAGGCTTTCATGATCCTAGGAGCCCCATACCCACCCAGGCATCACTCTCTATTACATTACCCTATTTAGTTTGCTCCATAGTAGTTAGTATGTGACTAATTATCAATCAATCTAATTAACCACTACAATTATAGCATTTTACCACCTAAAACAGAAGCCATATAAATCCCAAGTCCTAACCCCATGTAAGGAAACCTGCTTCAATTTATGAAGGGAATCTGGATGAGACATACACATTCCACACACATTACTACTGAAAATAAAGTATACAAGCTTTGCCTTGAAGCCTGCATGTGGAACAGTGCTAATTACATAGGCGCAGTATAACTAAAATTAATAACTTACCAGGATCACATACAAAAAAATAACAGCAGATGGTTCTTATACTTTTATAGTTAAAATTTTTAAAAATCATACCACCAGAACTCTATCAAGTTGTTGAGTGCAAGGTGTCTGGGAACCATATGGCCTGCCTATTAATACATTTGACCCATTACCCAACAACTATTTCCCAGCCTGGAAGGAATATTACTCTGGGAGACAACAGAAAACAAAAGACTCACATAAACGTTTCGAAGATGGGCACCAGGAGGGATGTTAAGGAAAGTGAAATTAATTATCCCCAAGAAGAGATCATTAAGAAGTAATCCAATAACAAGCTCTAAGACTGACGACGAGTTGTGGCATAGGGTTGCCAATGATTTGAATGGTTTTTCTTCTCTCTTTATCAAGAAAGAACAAACAAAGGCTAAAATTTCCACAGAGAGATTTAAACTTACTCTGTGGAATTACCTCCTGACGCTGACGAGTACTGTATTCAGAAGAGGAACTGATTATGGAGAACAATAATTAACTCTGTGTTCCAAGCACTTATATGACTTCATTCCTGAAAGTACAGAAATGACAAGTTCTTTCAGCCCGTGCTGCCACCTTAACACTGTCACCAACACCATCACCAACCACGATGACCCACGCCCTTTTATACTCTAGCCCATTTAATTCTCATAAGAACTCTATGAGCCGGTGAAACCCCGTCTCTACTAAAAAAAATACAAAAAACTAGCCAGGCAAGGTGCCAGGTGCCTGTAGTCCCAGCTACTCGGGAGGCTGAGGCAGGAGAATGGCATAAACCCGGGAGGTGGAGCCTGCAGTGAGCTGAGATCTGGCCACTGCACTCCAGCCTGGGGGACAAAGCAAGACTCCGTCTCAAAAAAAAAAAAAAAAAAGAACTCTATGAGCTAGATATTATTATCCCCATTTCACAAACTGGAAAACTAAGGCCAAGCCATATTATCTGCTCTATCACTTAGGGGAAATAACTGCCAGGCCCTTACTTCAAGTGTTCTTCCTTTACGGAGTATTGTTTTCCTAAAAAGCTTTGGATTTGCCAGAAAAGCAGGAGACATCCAAAACATGCTAAGAGACTGAAGCAAAGTGAGTATGAGATAACAAAAGACAGAGATCCCCACTGTAGCCTACGGCAGTCAGGAAAGTGTTAACCATGAAGGTACTGCTGACATGAAACCATTGAGGAAAGAAAAACTGAAGATCTGGGAAGAAGGCAAGATTGTGTAGGGGAAAAAAAGCAGAGGGCATGCAATGGCAAGCATTCCTTTCAACAGAAGGAATTAAAAATGGGCGAAGACCAATCAGAGGCTAGGGAAAGACAGATGCAAGGCTTGCTATGGAAAGTTGAAGTTATTTTTAAAATTCTACAATTTTTCAGAGCCAAAAGGTCTTTCCAGGTCATTTCAACCTATCATCATGTTTTATAAATAAAGTGAGATCCGGAGAGGGTAGACGGCGTGCATGCAGCCAGCCAGGTAGGCAGCAGATGTGTGCCTCGTATCCAGACCTCCTGCCTCCCTATCCAGTGCTCTAGAAGTTCTACTTTAAAATCACTTGCTCTCTCCAAACATCAAAGAAACAATAAGCCTGAATTTCTGGTCCTTTTTTTCCCCTGCTGTCCTCCCAATCAATTCTAAATTATTTTCAAATACAAAATTAATTAGTCCAATGAACAAAGAGTTGTTGCTCAAGATGTGGTTGGTGTCATTCTGTTAAAAAAAAAAAAAAAGTTGGTGACCAACCTACATCAGGCATTTGCATTACACTAAACTTATCAAGCAGTTATCCCCTAAATGAAGTGAAATGAAAAAGTAATGATCATTCACAATGTACCAGCTCAGGAACTTGGCATCCTACTCCCTCTCAACACCTAAGTGCGGAATCACATCTTGGGCCCCTCCAGGCCCCCAGGCCTGTGACTCCTGAGCTCAGCTCCACAAAGCATAGGGGCCATTTAATTTCCAGGAGCCCCAGCAAAATTTACCCTGTTTCAAGGCCATCCTCTGCACTCTAAAAATAAACAAAATTTCAATGTTCAATCATAAAGTCTCTTCACGAAAGGCGAGGAGCCATGTCTGGTACAGGTGCTTGTACACTCACCGGCTTTACGGTTACAGCTTTGGAGCCTCTGGAAACTTCTGTGAAAATACCAATGACAGACCTGCAGCAGATGCTGTGAGGAGCCTGACTATCCTCTCAATCTCCACCGCTTCCATGTAGGCTAGTCTAACCTCCCTCGGTCAGTTCCTGCATCTCTCTGACCGGCTAGTCTAACCTTCCACGGTCAGCTCCTGCATCTCTCTGCCTGAAGGCTTTTCTGGCTGCTGGAGCCCTCTTGGTCACCCTCAATAGGCCGAAAGGACCTTATGGGTACCAACCCCAGCAGTTCTTAGTCAACGGCTATTAAGAGTTGGGGGGCTTAGCCAAGCACGGTGGCTCACGCCTGTAATCCCAGCACTTTAGGAGGCCGAGGTGGGTGGATCACGAGGTCAGGAGATCAAAACCATCCTGGCTAACACGGTGAAACCACGTCTCTACTGAAAATACAAAAAAATTAGCCGGGCGTGGTGGCGGGCGCCTGTAGTCCCGACTACTCGGGAGGCTGAGGCAGGAGAATGGCGTGAACCCGGGAGGCGGAGCTTGCAGTGAGCTGAGATCCGGCCACTGCACTCCAGCCTGAGCGACGGAGAGAGATTCCGTTTCAAAACAAAAAAGAGTTGGGGAGGTCAATACTTTAGCTCCCATGCCCAGGGGTGGTAGTGCAGGGGTGACCCTGAGGCATGTATTCCAAACCAGCATGCAGACTTCCCTAGTGGGATGAGGCTCCCGTTACCCCTAGTGGGAATTCACGTGATGGCGCACTCTATGTGGGTCCTTCACTTCCCTGCCTAGCTTCACCCTTCAACAGTGTTTCCTAGGATCATCTCCCAAAGAAACCTGCACTTCCATACTTGCCTCAGGGTCTGCTTCTGGGGGAGCCCCAAGTAAGGCAAAATTCAAGACCTTTTGCTCTCAAAGGGTTTTTCGTTCAGCAGGTCCTAAGATATCTGGACTGGTGGAGTCACTATCAAATATGAAGCTATCACATTTGGTTGGTGCTCAGCCAACAGATTGAGTGGAAATTCAAATCCTTACTAAAATCCAACAAGCTGAGGCTTTGGTACACTATCCTGGAAAGGGGGTACACCTTTTTCTTCATAAAAGGATGGTTGCTGGTCACTTACCAAGCAATGGTCCCACAGGGCCACATCCACCCAGGAAATTATCAGTTCCTTACTGACACAATTCTAGAAGCATCAAAGGTTCTTGAAGGTCCTGGCCTAGCAGAGCACCTTAATGGTGCAGGGCAGGTGCTCAATAGATGTCTGTTGATCATAATGATGACTAATACCTGCCAGATGGGCCCCAGGGACACTAGAGGAGGGTGCCACCCTCAAATGGTGTGCAATATAGGAGATGCACACTGTATTTCTCCAGTGTGTCAGAAACTTCACTTATTTCCCACCATTCTTACTTCCACCAAGATTTTAGCAGTCCTGAAATCACTCTGTCTTTCTACACTCCTTTACCTCTTTACCCCATTACCTACCTTCCCATTTATCTGAAGCTGACCTGCAAATTGCCAAGGCAGGAAAAACCCCACTTTGCACATTGGGACAAAACATCCCATACCTGGCACTGACCACCAGCTCTTTCCCATCACCGTTATACCCTCTCCAGGGTCTACTCATTTGCAATGGCAGCCTCACAGGGAGACCCTAAGGCCATGCTGATGTCTCCAGCCAGCAGAAGCCTCTACTCCAGCTCCCCATTCTCCTCTCTACTCCACTGCCTGCCCAGTCTACAGTGGGGTGACACTGTCAGTGGGGTATAAATGTTAATCCAGAGCTGCCCCTGGACATTGCCCTCCCCCTCCCCACAGTGGCTCCATGCCCCAAGGAAAGCAGCTGGTGCCAGTTCCGGCCAAAGCCAAGGCTGCTCCCAGGAGAATCTGCAATGAAACAAATGTCCACAAAGCAGCCACTGGCTTCTAATGGAGTTGCCAAGGCAATGCCAACCACTTCACGTATTAAGAATGAACAAAGACAACACACAAGAATGAATCTTGTAAGCCTTCCTGCAGGAAACCAGGCTAGAATTCTTTCCTTTCTGCCAAAATTCCCACTGTGTGGACACACAGGCACTGTCAAGATCACAGACAGCTACAAAAGAACATTCTGAGAAGGCAAACTGCCCAAGCGATAATGAAGAAATTCAGAATCATTGCCTGGCTAACAGGCATAATAAAGACAGAAGTGTTACTTCTGTTACAGAGAATAATGGAACCTGTGCCTCAAAAATAAGATTCTTATGTGTATGTGATTTTCATTTCAGATCAAAATACAATGAACTCCTTTCTCTCCCATCCCCAAGCTCTTTTACCTTTGAGTGCTGCGTACCCTTACCTACAGGAGGAAAAGTCAGGCAACTGGTTCTAGTCCAGAAACTGGCCCCTCAGCTGCTTTGAGATCTTGATCAATTTACCCATATTTTCTAAGCCTCTTCCTCTCTGTAAAGTGAAAGATTGAACAGTTCTGGCTCTAACAAGCTATCACAGTAATGAGCAGTAAGGAATGCTGTGATTTTCCCATCAGAATGCTTTCCGCCTTGACCTATAGCATGAGAGAAGGTAAGCTGTAAACAGGGGAGAGCTCCGTCTTCTCTGCACTCAGAGGAAGGAGCAGAAATTGCTGCCGTGGTTATTTCAGCAGATCTAGTTTTCTGCCAAGTCAAGTCTGAAAAGAAAAGAAAAGAAAAACCTTCACTGGATAGGAGGTGAAAAAGCCATTTCACAGAAGGTAGAATGGAGGATCTCTTGTGCCAAATGGAAGATAACAACGATAGCACTGAGCTTTCTCTCTGGGGCACACCACCCTGGTGGGGCTTCCTGGCATACTGCAGTACCAACCAAGGTCAAACAGCCGCTCGACAAACCTCTCCCAGTTACACTGAGTCTCGTGATGGCGCTGCCAACACGGGACATGTGGTGACACGTGTAAAGTTCTCTTCCCTTTATTTAAAAAATCAAAAACAAAAGCTTTTCCCCAGGCCTTCACTTGGTTAAGTATGTTGCATACAGAGGCTTCAGAAAAACACTGCAAATATTTACTGCCAACAGAATTAACATTTGTTAACTTTTTTTCACTCTTCAGAAACAGCTTACATAATTATAATTATCCCATGTATTGAGCAGCAATTTTACTTTTATAATAAGTTAAGGCCCCTCAGTTCCATTTGTTCCTCATGATTTTGGGGGTGAGACAAGAATATCAACTTCACTTTCTGGGAATGGAGAATAACTTCCCATGGCCATGTGGAAGGCAAAACTTTGAGCTGAGACTGGGATCCAGAATTTCTGGTTCCCAGCCAAGCCTTCTACCCATAACACCATATTGCATCTTGTAACTGTTCCCTCAACTATAGATTTTCTAAGAATTCCACACATTTGGGTTTCGAACATGATGCAATATAACCTAGAGTGCAATGGCTTGCTTCTACATATTATGGATAAAATAACTCCCATAAATTACAAGGAAAATGTCCCACAAAAGAGTATAATTACATTAACCAAAACCAGCAGTAGTCATTAAGTTCAGGATGCCTGTATCACAATGGGTATTTAACATGCCACTCCCATTCAATCATAGTGCACTAGCACTATAAATGAGAGCTGCTGGATGCAAACTCCAAATAGGTCTTTAATAGTCAACTACACCTAAATGGACCATCTGGAACTTGGGCTATACAAGGCTCATGCATCCCAGGGCACATCATCTCAGTAGTCACACAGGAGAAGGGACATTTGACCCACAGTAGCAATGGTGGGTGGCCCAATTGGCAGATGAAGTACTTGGAGCACTAAAATATATATACAGGCCAGGCGCAGTAGCTCACACCTGTAATCCCAGCACTTTGAGAGCCCATAGTGGGAAGATCATTTGATGCCAGGAGTTTGAGACCAGCCTAGGCAACATAGCAAGACCCCATCTCTACAAAACATTTTTTAAAATTAGCCAGTTGCAGTGGTGCACACCTGTTAGTCCCAGCTAGTCAGCAGGCTGTGGTGAGAGGATCATGTGAGCCCAAGAATTTGAGGCTTCAGTGAGCTATGATCATGCCACTGCGGTAAGGCCTGGGCCACAAAGCAAGACCCTGACTACAACATATATACACACATAGAATTTTTTCTTTAAAAATTTTTTGTTGTTGAATTCAGCCACAATTTTATAAGCCAAAAATCTTTAAAAAGTGGTTTTAAGTGTAGTTGACACACAAGCATTGCATCTTTTAAAAGATTTCTAATTTTAGTTGGAGGACGGGACACCATATTTTTCAACGCTTAGGTATTGGAAGAGCCAGGTGGCCACACACATGTGGAATTTGAAGAACAAACTCACCCAATACTTCCTTCTGCCACCCCCTGCCCCGCTTCCTGACTTGAAGTTCCACCATTTGAACCAGTAATGGATTCAATAACTTTTAAAAGAAGACTATAATTCCAGAAAGCTAATTTATCAAAAATAGCCCTCTAGTCTTCTGCCAGGAGGAGCAATTAGCTTATCAGATTCGTTAGTTAATAGAACCAAGATAAACCAATTGTTCATTTCTAAGCAGTGAAGTGGGGATGGGGAGAAAAGAGGGAGGGGCAGGAAGAAGGGAAGGATTTCCCAAGCCAAGCAGGGAAAAACAGTGTGATGAGGGAGATGGCACCAGAGGCAAATGTCATTTCCTTCACGACCAGCCTAGGATGGACCAGCAAATAAAAGTTTAAACCTATTATCCCAAGCAGCTTTTGCCCAGCAATCTAGGGTAATAATTGTTTAATATACACCCAGGCTCAGGTACTGAAGGGCCACTTATTGGCACCCTCTCCCTTAAGAAGGGAGCCCTGTATTCATCCAAGGTTTCCTCCCAAAATCTCCCGCTTCACAGGCTCCTTTCTTTTAACGTAAAGCATGCTTATGTTTTCTTATTCTCTTCAGTTTTCTCTTTGTCCTCCCTCAAACTACTGCTCCAGCTCTAGCCCCTTTCTCTATCAAACTATTTAGAAGGTTGGTCTTCTCATGCCTCTACTTCCTTATCCCTCCCATCACATCCAGCCACCTAATTTTTGCTCTCATTCATCTGCCTTCTTAAACGGCTTCATGGCCTCTTAATCTTCAATTCTAAGACACTTTGATAGTCTGCAATATCCTCAACACTCACAAGCGTAGAATCGTGCACCAGCCCAGCCTTGTGGACACGCTGCTCTACTGTCCCCTTGGATGCTGCGTGCTCTGGCTCAGCTTCCTTCCTCTTTGACCCCTTATTTTTCTCTGTCACTGCCAATTTTTATTTTTCTCATTCCTGCCAATTCCAAATGTAAGAATGTCTCCAGATCTCTCACTGGGCCTCTTCTCTTCTGTCTTGCACCTTCCGTTTCCATACTGTCTTGCATGGAAAGGCACAAACATTCCTGTAGTTTTAGCCACATGCTGTACGCAGAAGATGAACAAAGTCCATCCTGAACTCTGAGACCCAAACATCCAGGATAAAAAGCTCAGAGCCATCTCTCCCACAGTTGCCCCTCACGACTGTCACCCAGTCAGTTGCCACAGAGTGGTCATTCATTTCTTTGATCGATCTCACTTTGTGTCTCAACTATTCTTACTACTTTTTGCCTAGACTTGTGCAAGGGCCTTCTAAGTGGCCCACATGTCTTTCTTTTCTCCATTGTGCTCTACATCCTTTGCCAAATCCATCTACCTCTGGCCCGGCAACTAAAAGAGCTTCTAGGATGCCCTGTGCTATATGATCCCCCTAGTGAGACACCTTCCACAACAGCGGACCTACCAATCCCCAAAGGAACGTCCTTCCCTACTGGACTTCACTGCTCTGACGATTCCCTCTAACCGGAATGCCATCTAAATGATTTGACTGTGTTATCTGTCAAAACGCTACCCATTCCTCTGGAAGCACCATGTCATGGAAAGAATGCAGGATCCAGAGTTAGAGACTGGGGTGAGAGAGGACTAATATATTTGACTGACTTTCGTATGCTAGACCCTATGTTTTACCTGGGGCATAACATAGATTGCTGACAACTATTCTTTAATGTAATTGCCACTCTTCATTTTGCAAGTGACAAGGTCAGGTTCAGAGATGTCCATGGCTTGTAGAGGGTCACAAAGCCCATATTACATTGGCTTCATATGGCAGTTGTGAGAACAAATAATAAAAGGCATATAAAATTACTTTACAAATTGCAAATTACAAATTGCATGTACGTTATTAACATTATGACTTATCTTACCCTTTTATAGATTTTTAGTTATTTAAGGACATGTTTTCTATCTTACCCATCTTTGGATTCCCTGCAGCATTTATGCTAAGTATTAAAAGTGCTTAAATTAATAGCTGTTTAATTAAATTGGATTTTTGATGTCACATTTTGAATTAATAGCATTTTTAAAATTTTACTCCAAAATTAAAGCTGCCACTTATTGAGCAGGTCCAAGTGCCAGGCAGACTACCGTGAATCTCCACAGCAGTGCTCCAACGTTAGCATTATTATACCCATTTTACAGATGGAGAAATCAGAGTTCAGAGACAACACATAATAGTCATACAGCCATAAGTAGGAGAGGCAGGAGGGTCTGATTTCAGAGCTCATGATTTCTCACCATTAAAGACTCTTGACCACAGATATCCAACTCACCTAGACCCACCAAAATCTAACATTTCTGCAACAGACGTGATTCCCATCTCTTGTGAGCAGAGAAACATCATTTTCCTTTTTATAGCCATAGTGCTGAGAACTCTCTTTCAGACTCTGCTCAGCATTAATTACCACATCCTCATGAACACTGGCATAATCAGCCCTCTGCCCCACACAACTAAACATCTTTCTTACAGTTTTACAGATTTAGGGTTTCTCTTCTTACTGCTTTATTCAACAGACACTGACTGAGAATCCTCCATGTGCCAGGTACTGTTCTAAAACACTGGGAACCCAGCAGGGATGAGACACAAGGTTCCTTGTCTTTATGAAGCTTTCATTCTGAGGGAGTGGAGAGAGACAAGCAATAAACAACCAATCAAAACAAAGATGACTCCTCTGAGTGTTGTGATATGCGGGTCAGGGAGGATGGCTCTGAGGATGTGACCTCAGAGCAGAAGCCTGGAGACTTGCCAGCTGTGGGAAGAGCAGGGGCAGGGCACTGCAGGCAGAGTTCACCAAAAGCGTGAAACCTTGAGCTGGGAAGCACATGGTCTGTTGAAAAGTGGGCTGATGTATTTGAAAGAGCAAGGAGCAGAATGGTATGATGAGGTGATGGGGGACGAGCCAGGCAGAGCCCAGTTCTGCAAAGCCCTATAGCACATACATCTGTAACGTACCTTGAAGCAAAGGAGTGGCCTGATCTGGTTTCTGTTTTGGCTGCTCTGTGAAGATGTGGTGCCTGGGAGGCAACGCTGAAGTAGGACAAATGTGAACACCAGTGAGGAGGCCATTATAGAAGTTGAGAAAGGCATAGGACAGCCTGGAAGGAGTGGGCAATGAAGATGGAAAGTATAGGGTGGGTTTGGAGTAGAGTTGGGAGGTGGGTCCATGGAACAAACGTGGATGACAAAGATCCATACAATAAGCTCTTGCAAATGTCCATGAGTCTGATTCACTGGCCTCCATGTTGAGTCACAGGCCACATATCACTCACTGAAGCCAGCCCAACATCAATGCTGAGCAGACCAGGAAGGACCATTCACTCTTATTCCCAAAACACTCTTCAGAGGTTGCCTCTCCTCCTTCGACCTCCAAGTTTGAGCATGCTAAGTGTGGAGCCGTCCAAATAATCCAGAAATCAAGGCAGAGAGAGAACTTAAGGGTGTTTCATGTCAACATTTCATCCCCACAAAAATCCCATGAAATTGGTGCTATCCAATTCTCCACCCCTATGACAGGGAGAACATGTCAATTCTCCAGTGTCATTCAACTGGCAAGTGGCAGATCCATAGTCAAGCCCAGGTCTGCCTCACTCCAATGCCCAACCTCCTTCAAGCACCCCACCTATGAAATCCAAAGAGACGTCACTGTGTCAAGGGCACACTTCACAGCGGCTGGAGTGACCGTGAGTTGATCACACGCACTCCTAAAACTACTCTGAGTTCTACCCTTTGACTTCAGTCTCTCCTACTTTAAAAAAAAATCTCTACATGAAAATACCTTTATTTATTTAACATATAATTATTAATGCTTCCTGTGTCAGGCAATCTGTGAGATTCTAGGAAGCCAATACTGGAAAGGACACAGTGCCCAAGCACTAAGGGTTCAGGGTCTAACAGGGGAGGCAAAGAAGCAGGGAAGGAAGCAGTTTTTCTCTTCTAGGTACTTTAAAGCTCTATAATATATGCTCTGGTGAAATTTGGCTGGTATTTTCAGGGACTTCACTGCTTTTGTGCCATACTGGCCTCATTATGTAGATAACATCACAGATTCATTCCATCTTCTTATTCTGTAAAAGTGATGTCTAATTAAAAGCAAAGAATCAGCTTTAAAAAATGCAAAGTCTCATACAAAGTAACCTTTTCCATTTTAAGCAAGCATTCAGAATATTAGCAGTGCTAATCAGTACCTCACTAAACAGTTATGACTGATTCTAAGCACAAAGTGGGGAATGAGAGTAACAGAGAGTATTTACTGGCTGCTAAAAGCAGGTACAATGGGGAGCATGCTAGAGAAACTGTCTCACGGAATCCTCAGATAACCCCGTGGTATAGGTAATACTGGAGAAACAGGCTAGAGTGGCCACATGACTTGCACAAGGCCACCCAGTAAGTGTGGGATAGAACAAGAGCCCATGTCCATAACCCCTCTCCTATTACACTAAGGTAAGGGTGGGCCTTTAAGGTGACCAAAGGGTTAGAAATAACAAACAGAGTGGATGAGCCTGGGTTTATTTTGTCTGGAGGAGAGGAATCTTTGAGGGTGATTAATTAAAGCATATTCGGGATATTTTTTAAATAAATGGAGACAGCTGTTCTCCATCATCCCTGATGATAGAAGAAAAGGCCTTCACCCTCAGCCTGGCAGATGAAGACAGAGATAAAGAATGTGCAGACTGTGGGATCTTGCTGGGAAGGAGGCAGGACTCACCTACTTAGTCTGTCTCTGATGCATTTCTTTGGAAAATGTATGTTGACAGTGCTTCTAAAAGTAATCGTATGAGCTGAAAAGATCTACTTTCAACTCTGGTAAAGAGTAGGATGCCTTTTCCAGATTAATTCCACATCAGTGTTTGTGGGCAATGCTGAAATAAAAGAAAATCCAGGCTAGCCAAAATTTTTCAGGTAAATAGTAGCAAAAGCAACCGAGTGGCTGGACAGATTTGAGACAGGAACAGCCAGAGGACTACAGCAGGGACTCCCAGTCTGGAGACTCTAACATAGATCTCCAGATGACCCCAATGACTGGGAATTGCTTTTACTCTGGACAGCCTGCTGGGCAGCCCCAGTCGATGTATGTCCGGGTCGCTAACCACTTTGACTGCCCCTGAGCCACAGAGTCAGGCAGGAGTCAGGGACACGTAGGTACTCTCTTCTCCCTGCCCCTCACCTTCCTCCTTCAGGGCCACCTTGGCCACAAAGGCTGACTCCACGTCAGCTACTCAGACATGCTCTCTCCTCACCTCCTCCTTCCCACTCTTCCCCTGATGCCCACAGGCTGGATTTGAGGTCAGGAAGCACTAGGCTTGGAGCCATACACTGAAAATGACTTCCCTTTTCTTCCTAGATTAGATTTGTTGCAAATGGCTCTGCTCCCACATGCTCCATGATCCAATATACCCAGGAATAAAACCTAAGGGACATATGGGTACAGGGAGCTAGATCAGAAGAGACCTCAGCCTCCTAGGTTAATGCGCAAAGCTTGCAGCTGGTCATGCAGTGAGCTGGGCCCTTTCCATGGTCATAAATCCACACCTGGGTGCATTAATGCCACTGCGTCTGGAGTCCGTGACCTTCACAATGGAGAGTTGAAGCAACTGCAGGCTGTCCTTCACAGGCCATATCCTCGAGGAGGTGGTCCTTTTGACACAGGTGGAGGTGACTTCACTTCCCCCAACATGGCCAGTCAGCCACTGTTAGGGGACGGCTCGCTCTACAGTGTTTTCTTAATTAAAGAAGCTTCACAGGACAGCAGCAGAGGGACCAAAACAGGTAACATTGGATCAATCCCTTGGATTAGGTCTGAAAAGCAGCTGCCACCTTCATTTTCCTTTTCAGTTTTTTCTTTTTCTTTCTTTTCTTTTTTTAGAGACAGGATTCTTGCTCTGTCACCCAGGATGGAGTGCAGTGGAATGATCACAGTTCACTGCAGTCTCAAACTTCTGGACTCAAGTGATCCTTCCACCTCAGCATCCTGAGTAGCTAGGACTACAGACACATGCCACCACACCCAGCTAATTATTTTAATTTTTATTTATTTATGTATTTATTTATTTATTTTGAGGTAGGGTCTCACTCTGTCGCACAGGCTGGAGTGTAGTGGTGTGATGTCAGCTCTCTGCAGCCTCAACCCCCTGGGCTCAAGCAATCCTCCCACCTCAGCCCTGCTGAGGAGCAGGAACTACAGGCATGCACCACCACATCCAGGTAATTTTTGTATTTTTTGTAGAGACAGGGTTTCACCATGTTGCCCAGGCTGGTCTCGAGCTCCTGAGCTCAAGCGATCCTCCCACCTCAGCCTCCCAAAGTGCTGGGATTACAGACATGCACCAGCATGCCTGACTTAATTATTTTTATTTTATTTTATTTTTAGAGATGGGGTTCTCACTGTGTTGCCCAGGCTGCTCTCAAACTCCTGGGCTCAAGCAATACTCCTGCCTTAGCCATGATTACAGGTGTAGCCTCTGTGTCCTCCTTCTCAGTTTTCCAGCACTGTCAGGCCCTGAGCTCCAAGCCTTTCCTCCGGTAAAGCACATCAGTTACTTAGATGCCAACTGTGGCATCTCCCTCCCGTGGGACTTCCTTATGATCAATGAGTCAGTATTTCCTGAGATTCCTCGGTCTCCACTTTCACAGCCTGGTTCCCTCAAGGCACTCATACTTGTGCTCCACCCTCTTTTTCTGCTGAATTATTTAGACATCACAAATTGGCTAAAATGTACTTGCTGAATTTACTGCCAAGAGAAGAGGCGGCTTCCCTTCCCTTTCCTCTGCCTCCCCTTTTTCCCTCTGGCCCCAAGGGAGTCTCACTCTCTCTGCCCTCCCTCCTAGGTAAACCCATCCAATACGGTTTGGCTGTGGCCCCACCCAAACCTCATCTTGAATTGTAGCTCCCATAATTCCCACATGTCATGGGGGGACCCTGTAGGAGGTAACTGAATCATGGGGTGGGTCTTTCCTGTGCTGTTCTCATGGCAGTGAATAAGTCTCATGAGATCTGATGGGTTTACAAAGAGGAGTTTGCCTGCATAGCTCTCTTTTTTGGTCTGCCATCATGTAAGACATGCCTTTCACCTTCCACCATGATTGTGAGGCCTCCCCAGCCATGTGGAACTGTGAGTCCATTAAACCACTTTTTCTTTATAAATTACCCAGTCTCGGGTATGTCTTTTTCAGCAGTGTGAAAACGGACTAATATGCCATCCTCCCACTCCTTGACCCTGGCTCCATCCTTCCCTTCTCGCATGCTTACTCCATTAGCTAAAAGCATGACCACATGTGTGCTATCCTTAAAAACAAAAAAACCTGCCAGCCACCTTGCTTCTACCTCAACTCACTGTGCTATCACCACACATGAAGCTTTTTGGAAATAAGTAGCACACACTCCCAGCATCCTTCCTCTCACTCCTCATCATGCCAGTCTTTTTGCTAAATGGGAAGCAGCAAAGGCCCCCACAGCTGTCCCCTCAGCAAACCAATGCCTCTCCTCTGCCATCCCTTTATCACCCTCTCCAAGCATCTGCCCCTCCCACTTCTGCAATGATTTCTCCCCCAACTCTGCATTTTTTTGGTGTTCTTCCAACTTCTTTAATTTCTCTTCTTTTTCAACATTGGCCTTTCCTAGCATTAAGTTTTTGTCCTTTTTCCCTCTTACACCAATGTGTCCTAACTCGGGGATTTGGGTGGCATCATCACAATTTTTGTCATAACCATGTACCATCCACTCTACCTTTAATTTAATATTTTTCTTTAAATTAGCTTATTTTTCCTTAAATATACTTTCAATGAAACTTTTGTATTACTATTGCAAGTGAAAAATCAGTATCACATGCTATAAACAGAAGGCAATAAAAAGAGATACAATGAAAACAAAGCAGTATGAATGAGCTCTAGCTAGAAACACTGCGTGTCAAGGACTCCAAGACTAGGACCTGTTCTTTCCTTTAATTAAGAGGAAATTCCAAAGTATTAGAGATTAAACACTAGCACTAAACTGAGGCTTTCTCTTCGATAGATTCAGAAGGGCTGAAAGAGGAATAAAATGAAAATAACTTTCCACTACCTGATTCAATGTTATCTAAGGCCATGTCTGCTGTGTACTGCCTAAAATTATCAACTACACAGATAATTTTCCTACTAAATACTAGAGTTAGTTCTCTTTCCTCTGTGACTCTCTTCAGGGGACTTAAGATTGTAACTTCTTCAATGGTTGCCATATTTCTTAGCTGCTTTCCACATGCTTTTAGAAAATGAGATTACAGACATAAACTAGAAACAAGATAGACAACAAACACCCTAAATGTCAAAAGTAGTACAAAACAGCAGCAATCCATCCAAGCCGGAGCCCAGATCTACCCCAGATGGCTCTATCCATCAGGGTTGGAGCCTGGAACGTATCAGAGACTGCCCACCATCAACACCTAATCTATAATAATAAATAATATGATAGCCAACATCTGAAAGGTTTACATACCAAATGCAGCACCACGCACCTCATATATGTGCTGTTCAATCTTCACAATACCCTCGTGAGATCGATGCCATTATTATTCCCAGTATGAGGAACCATTAGAGAAGTTAAGGAACTTGCCAAGGATCTCTTGTAAGTGGCAGATCCAGGATTTGCAGCAAGATCATCTGATTCCAGAGCCTGTGCTCTTAATGCTTTTGCTCCCCCAATGCTGAGACACACAGCGATTTTAAACCTCACAAACCTCAAAATAATAGCCTGCTGCTCTTAAGCACAATTAAGACAATGGGGTTGACACAACAGGAAAACCATTCAACATGTAATTAAACATAATTACTGGTGTCCTCTAATTGTTTGGGAAAATAAATCTCTTGCCCTTGACAAGCTATAATTCTGGTGTGTGCTAAGAAGGTTCAAGTCTTCACTTCGATCTGTATGCCTCCAGCACATACATACATTATTCATCACATTTCATGGCAGGAGCAGTAGAGTGGCTCAAAGATACATACCTTTGATACGTAACTTAGAATCAAATAAGATAGGGCTCAGAGGAATCTAAACCATCCTGCCCAAATCTTCATTTTATAGATGGGAAAACAGGGAAAAAAAATAACTTCCCCAGAACATACAGGGCTCTGTCTTCTAGTTAAGTGCTCAAGGCACTTCACTGGTTAAACAGGTTAAATTCAGACCGACTAAGCTAAAAACTTGCCTTCACAATTTAGTAGCTATGTGACCTTGGGCAAGTTATCTAACCTCTCTGAGCTCAGGTCAGGATGATAATAATACTGCAGTAGCTCTCTCATAAAATTTTGTGAGGACGAAATAGCAATATATGTAAAACACTTGAAACAGTACCTGGGCACGTGGCATTCGATCACTGCATCTAGCCACAGATACTACCGCTTCAGATAGTGAGCCACATCTGCATGACGGGCCTCGGAAATACTTCCAGGTTCTCATCAGGGCCACTAAAAACAGCAGTAAGGGTGTGTTCACATCTGCTAAGGAGCAGTTAAAGGGTGTCTCCAATGTCTGCCACATGGAGCTAAAACTGTAAAGCAAAGACGTTTAACTGAGGTTCTTTCAAGGAGGGAGAAGGGCACGGGAAACAGACCGGAGTGCCTTGCAGCATGAGACTTACATTCTGCTGGAATGAGCTTCAGTGCCAGTAGCCATGCTCTTGTGCACAGACCTGTTTATTTAACAGGACAGATAATCACGCTTCCAGAAGGACAAAGTTTTTAAAAGCAACATGAGCAATTATTTATGGAGCATACACTTAGTAAACAGCACTAGGTGTATGGAATACAATGAAATCTAGGGTAGGACTATCAAAGCAGCCTTGGCAAATACCTAGACCGAGGCTACCCATCTTTCTTGAACCCCAAGCAGACATCACTCTTCAGCCACAGCACACTTGTCTGCAGAGCCCGAGTACAGCCTTACAATCCCTCTCAACCCAGTGCTCCATGAAGCCACTGCCTGTGCATAACTGTTGAATTTAGGAATTAGAGGAGTAAGCAGGCAAGCAGACAATGAGGCAGAGGACTAAAACTCAGCAGGGGCCGAGAATTATTTTACTTAGCTTCTCTTGATTAGGCATTTGAATTTAAAACAGCTAGGAATATAATACATAATACATCTTGTGTGTGTTGCAGGGAAAAGGTTTAAAGGGTCCAAGCTATAAAACATAACCAATGTGAAATGCTCTTTGCCGGAATACACAAGCACTACAAAATATTCTCATTTTCCTTGGACTCCCATAAGAAAAACTAGCAGCATCCTCATTCAAAAGAAGAGATGTGAAGCAACAGAGATGGTAAAGTACTTATTACAGATGTTCCTGGGCTGAGGGCGGTGGCTCATGCCTGTAATCCCAGCACTTTGCAAGACTGAGGCAGGTGGATCACTTGAGGTCAGGAGTTTGAGACCAGCCTGGCTAACATGGTGAAACCCCATCTCTTCTAAAAATACAAAAATTAGCTGGGCGTGGTGGCGTGTGCCTGTAATCCCAGCTACTTGGGAGGCTGAGAAAGGAGAATCACTTGAACTTGGGAGGCAGAGATTGCAGTGACTCAAGATCGCACCGCTGCACTCCAGCCTGGGCAACAGAGCAACATACCATTTCAAAAAAAAAAAAAAAAGTTCCTGGCACGAAGAAGCTGTCTGCCTTTCCCCCTATTGAGCCATTCATGGGGAGAACCCAGGACTCAAAGAAATGGAACCACAGAAGAGAGAATCCAGGAATACGAATGGCACTTCTGCTGGCTAATTTGACCACAAAAGGTGCTGGTTGCGCAGTTGCTGCACAGAAAGGAGGCATTAACATGAGGGGAAAGAAAGGATTTCCGTTTTGTCATGGACCAAACCTGACTGTTAGAACCCCAACTCACAGTGTGAGAAAGAGCAGCAAACCCGGTGA